TTCATATGCTGAAGTAAGCAAGGATACATATGAAAATAAGAAATAACAGATCCAAATTGACACTGAAATAATGGGTCAACCCAAAGAAAAGACAGAGAATCACAGTTAATCCTCGTACCTTTGACCATTTGCTTAACGGGTCCAAATTGACACCTCTGTTCAGAAGAACACCAGCCAAATCCCGTCTGCGAGTCTGAAATCCCATCACAGCAATACACTATGAGTCGGCCATCAGAGCGACAAAAGGTAAGGATAGAAAAGAGGCAGAGAAAGACATGACCTTTAAAGTGTTTGTCCGTAGAGAAATCGGGCGGGGCTTTTCAAATGCTTCAATAAGTTCAATCAGCTCAACAGGGGGAAACATCTGCAGTAAGGTCAATCATCCAGATTGAAATAACAAAATGCAACTTGAAAAGGGAAAGAACGAAAGGGTGCAGAGTCTAGACTACTTTGAGCTACAAATTACCTCCACTAACACCTCAATCAGAAAATCATTGTATCCATAATATGAACCCAAGTCCCTTTTAAGTTGATCAACATAATCCTTCCGTGTCACACCCTCTTGCCTCAATGTTTTAAAATTTGAAAGCACTCGAACAACTGCATTTATATTTGAATGATAAACTTACCTCTGAGAAGAAAAAATAATTTGGGAAGGGAAGATGAAGGAGAAGAAACTCACTCTCTTTTATCCTCCTTTGGAGATTAGAGAGATCCGGGGGTCTATGTGTTTCTTCTTCAAGCTCCTAAATTATACGATGACATATTCAGCATTCACATATGTTTGACAAGCCAAACCTCTAATCAAGAACTTGAACATTAAGCAAACCTCGGTTGTTGGCAGTCTGAACTCATCAGCTTCTTCCTTAATATTAAGCTGCAATTCTGCTTCAGCGTCCTCCTTCACTCTTTCCGTTTCTTCATCAATAGCTTTTGACTTCCTTACAAGATCAGTATCATCTGCATCTGAATCAGAATCTACATCCGAATCTGCTGAACCATCGTCTGCAGCAGAAATGACAAAACAAACAAGAATGGCTAGTGAGTCATAAATCTTGGTAAGATGGCAAAAATTAGAAAACCAATGCACTAAGTCAGTAGAGTACCAGCATCACCACTTGCTAATATATCAGCAGCAAAGGGGTCGTCCAAGTCAGAAGACATGTCAGAATCTGAGTTCATTTCCTGTTGTTCTTCATCACCAAAACCTCCATCATCTTCTTCAAAATCCCCATCTGTTCCTTCACCGTCACTAATAAAAAGATCTTCCTTTTCAAGTGGCTTAGGTGGCAGAGGTTCCTTCTTTTGCTTCTTCTTGGTAGGGGGTTTTCCTAATTTAGAACCCGCTTTCTTACCGAGTTTGGGACCAGCCATTTAAACTACAAATAAAAATAGCAACACTTTTAGAAGATGGTATACAAGCATCCTATTTAAATCCAAAAACAAGCATAATTTCACCCATTCCTACAAGATACGGTAAAAAGGCAATAGTACTCCAAGATTCAAGCTTTATAACATTCTACCGGTAGAAGGAGCACAAGTCACAGCACATGTAAAAAAATCCAGGTTTTATCAGAAGTACAAACTTCTCACGAAAACTTGTACCACAAAGAAAATCAACAAAATCATATTCTACAATCTACAGTACTTAAATTTTCAATGAAATGCTTAGTACATATATTTAGCCTACACAAAAACAATTTTCAGCATATGGGTACAAAGTAAAAAACAACCTAGTACTGCACGAAAAATAGAGAAACTTACTGAAACAGAAACGACGAGAAAGGAAGAAGTTGTTTATTGAAATACTTCTTTCTACAAGAACCAGTCTTTCTTGTAAAGAGAGAGAGAAAAAAAGAGAGCAGCGAGGGAGAGAGGTTTTAGGTTATTTCAGGTTTAGAAAAATTAACGCAAAGTATTTGTATTTATTTACACTAAAGTCCCTCGTTTAACTAGCATATTATTGCTAAGGTCTTGAACTTCTGCAGAAAATTCATTTAGTCCCTCTAATCTTATGTTTGGAGTTTCTTTTTCCTTTCGTCTTTCTTTTATGCTTAGGTTAAAGGTCTTTCCTCATCTTTTTCATTTGGTTTGGACCTCTGTTTTAAAAGGCAGAATTGGGACTCGTTCAGGGGCGGAGCACTCGTAAAATGCCCCTGGGCTTATGTGTGGGGCTTAGTTCCATGAGACTTACGTCTCGACCATCGGGGCTTACGTCCCGGACACGCCCAACGCCTAGCGTTCTGGACTCACCTAATAGAACTTTATGCAATTGTATGTAACTAACCTTGTAAATTCTCAAATTTTCTAAATAAATCATTGACTATTCAAAATTATTTTTTTCTTAAGCATAAATCATTAAGTTGAGAGTATTTTATGTCATAATTAAAATAAAAATTATTGCATGTTATCCATTAAGACTGCTATGATAGTTAATTTTAAATAAAGCTTTCATTTAAAATGTATTTATTTATTAACTTTTGTTATGTCTTTACTATATAATAGTCCAATTTTTTATAATTATTTTTTTAAATATTATTTTTTTCACGTTTTCGAGATACAATACATATTAATTTAATAGCTCATTATTAGCTAGTAACTATTTACAAATTAATAATTAGTTAGCATGGTATTGTATGGTGAATTATGTGTCACTTTATTAATTTGTTGAAACTTAAAAATAAATGATGCTAGAGAATCATATTTAAATTGTAAATTATATTTTTATATAAATTCTCTTTCAATAAAAAGAGTATTTTAAGAAAAATATCAAATTATAATATCGAAATTCTTTCAAGACTTATTACTCCTTAAGAGATACATATAAGATTTCTTTATCGAATACTTTACTTTTGATATTTGAGTTGTAACGACGTTGCAGCTAATTTACGTATTATGATATATGTCATACTTTTCGTATTATTCATAGTTGAATTATAATTTATAAATATTTTAAATATATTATGTGTTATAATTTTGTGATTTTAATGTAATTTTTATAATTATTTTTTTATTTTATACTATCTTAAAATTCTTAAAATTAGTAAAATTTAAAGATCTGTGAGACTTATGCCCCATGTCTCAGGGCTTACGCCTCGCCTCGTCAGAGGTAAAACGCTTCGCCTCATGCCCCGCCTTTTAAAAAATTAGTTTGGAGTATGAGGTAGGTCTTTTTTTCTCAAAATTGCACTCTATAGTTTAACTTAATATCTTTAAAATTAAATTTTCAAAATTTAGTGTTAGAGTAAATTTTAACGTTTATTAATCACATGAATAATTTTTACAAGTTTATAATAAAGTAAAACATGATGCTTGAATCAAATTGTCAATGGCTAATCTAAGTGACGAGAAAAAGAGAAAAATAATATTTAATTTTAAAATGTACTTAAATTTTTTATAGCTATCTATAATACGTAATCTTTTTTAGATAAACTATAGTTTGGTATTGGTCTTAAAATTTATAAGAACAATTAAACTAAATAGATGCACATATATAATCCATGTAAAAGATGTGTATAACTATATAATCTATGTATACCAGGCTAGAAACGGTGAACAGTTAATCACACCTGCTGCTTATATAAAGATTCCAAATTATAAACCTATTTGATTTGGATTATTTTGCTTGATTAAACTGTTTCTTAAAATTAAATTAATTTTTTTAATTAGATTAGTGCTTGCTATTACATAAAAACATATGCAACTTAGTTAATATTTTTTCTAATAATAATGATTAATACAAATCAATATGCTTACAATTTTTTACGTAAATAATCATGTTCGTTCATAATCCAAACCAAATAGGACAATTACATGTGTTTGAAATAGTTTACCAAAATGCATAATCATTACTTATTGAACAACATCCTCTCCTTGAATTTTTGCTCGTTAGTTGAGTACATTTGTTCTGTAATTAGATGTTTATTTATAAATTGTATCGATTAAGTAAGTATCATATATTTGTATAGAGTATACAACTAGATTAAACAAAATTTTACTCTTGAATGAAGAGAGGGGATAGAACTAGATTAAGATTTGGAGCACTTCGAGAATCAACGTGATTTTAGGTATTGTAGGTATATTAAGCTCATGGAGGTTAAGGGAGCTATGCGCAAGATGAGTAGGGGGAAAGCAACCAGGTCATATGAGATTCTGGTTCAATTTTAGAAAAATACGAGTAGAGCAGGTTTGGAATGGATTACCAGGTTATTTAACATTATATTTAGTACGGCAAAAATTCCTAAAGTATAGAGGTAGAGTACGATAATTCCATTGTACAAGAACAAGGGTGATATTCAAAATTATAACAACTATATGGGCATCAAGTTGCTAATACACACTATGAAAGTTTGGGAGAGGGTGGTGGAGATGCGGGTGAGGTGGAACATGTCTATTTTCGAGAATCGGTTCGAATTCATGTCGGTCGATCAACCACATAAGACATCCATCTTGTGAGGAGGTTAGTGGAGCAGTATAGGGAGGGGAAGAAGAATTTGCATATGGTGTTTATTGATCTAGAAAAAAACATAAGACAAAGTCCCAAGGAAGGTTTTTATGAAAATATTTGGAGGCTAAGGTGTACATATAGCATACATTAGGGCGATTAACGATATGTATGATGGAACCAAGACCCGATTTAGGATAATAGTAAGAGACTCAGGACATTTCCCAGTCGTGATGGGGTTATGATAAGTATGACTTTAACCACTTATTACAACCTTCTTGTTATAGTTTTAGCCCGATTTTAATAATTTTTGTCTCCAATCTAATGAAAATGGTTGAATTGTAGGTGTGCTGGAGAATGTGAGCTCAATAAAGAAAAATAATTCAAAAAGGAGAGGATCTAGCCAAGTTCAGCAAAGAGGAGAAATGCTAAGAAAAGTGTACTTTGCAGAATTCCATCTGCGACCGCAAAAGCAAGTGCGGTCTGCAGAAGATGAAATGCGGCCGCAAAAGAAGAACTAGAGCTTCAGGGATTTTTGGCAGAAGTGCAATCCGCAGGCTATAATGGGTGTTCGCACTTGGTATGCAAAATAGGTTCGCACTGACAAAGCCTGAAAGATTAGAAATGTGCAATCGAACAAGTCTGAAGCCTCATCACATGTGGCCCGCAGCAATTCATGTGCAGCCGCAGAAGTTGAAGTGCGGTTGCAGAAGCTAAAGTACGGTCGCAGAACTCTTCCAACTGAAAGCACCCGCAACATTAACCCAGCAAAGTGTGGACCGCAGAAGTTAAAGTACGGCCGCAAAACCCTCCAAATAGTATTTTTGTCAAAAATTTGGAGCACTATAAAAAATTGTGTATCACTTTTTTAGGCATCTTTTCATAATGTAGTGATAAGTGTGGATTTTAACCACTTATTAGTACCTTTTTACTTTAGTTTTTAGCCCAAAAATAATGATTTTTGTCTCCAAATCTAATTAAAATGGGTAAATTGTAGGTGTGTTGGAGAATATAAGCTCAATGAAGAAATCCAACTCAAAGAGGAAATGTTTCATGTAAGATCAGTCAAAAGGAAAAATACAAGAACAGTGTAGTCCGTAGAATTTTATCTGCGGCCGTAAAAGTAAATGTGTCCCGCAGAAAATGACATGCAGTCGCAGACAAAATCTAGAGCTTCAGGGATTTTTGACAGAACTGCGGTTCGCAAACCAAGGTAGCACTTGAGGTTCGCGCTGACTAGCCTAAAAGATCAGAGAAGATGCAATTAAACAAAATCCAAAACTGCCTCAAAGTGCGGTCCGTAGCAATTTAGTGCAACCGCAGAAGCTGAAGCACGGCCGCAGAAGCTAATGTGCACCGGAGAACTCCTCCAACTGAAAGCACTTGCAACAGTAACCTACCAAAGTACGGACTACAGATGATAAAGCGCGGCCGTAGAACCCTCCGAAGGGTATTTTTGTCAGTAATTTCGGAGCACTAAATAGACATGAAATACTTTTTTAGGGCATCTTTCTGTGTTGTACCAGCAGCTGGTAGTTATTCTTAGCTATTTGGGAAAAATTTGAGCTACAATTAGAGATGATCAATCACTTTTCCATTTTAATTTAGTTTTATGTTTTCAATTTCTTCTTCTTTTCAATTTTCTATGTCAATAGCTATAAGTAGCTAGATTTTATCTAGGGTTGTGATCCAACCCTAGTGTATAAACCTTATGGATGTTTAATATTAATACTTGCTATTGATTGGGTGAGTTTTATTTAGCCTTATTATGTTTATAGTTAGAATTAATGGTTGCAAACGTTGATTCATGCTTATTTGGCTTTGTTCTTACTTGAGAAAGAGGAATTTAGTCTAGGAATACTGGGCTAACAAGAAAGTGAACTAGTTGAAGTATCAATTAGTTTAATTAAAGGATTTGAACTAGATATAGGGATAATCTAAATTGGACTCATGTTTAATTGTTTTGATTGCTACCCATTTGGATTTGTGAGAGCCAATTTGGGCATAATCACTCTTTAACCAAGAGGTATTGAGTGGTACTTGTGTATTGGGAGTCATAACAAACCCTGATCTACTAAGCAAGTATAGATTCACTCTACCCATTAGGTTTCACCTAGGTTAAGGTTACAATCCTTGGTCTTTCTCTATTTGATAAAAACTTCAAAAATATTTCAATCGTTACTTGTTAATTAGTTACTTAAATTTCTTAGTAGTTTAATTTAGAAGAAATACCGCCCACTTTTGTTTGGAAGCTAAATCTAGCTACTTCGAGTTTTTTCCTTAAGTATTTACCTTAACACCCATTTTAAACTCCTTGTAGATTCGACCCCGACTCGCATTGGGTTTATTATTGTAACGATCGTTTCATATTCCTTAATTGGGTGTGAATTGGACGTGATCAATTTTTGGCCTTTGCCGGGGAGTTTATGGTAGT